ACCCCTCTGGGCATGCGCGGTGGGGTTCCTGCGCACGCCCGAGGGACTGGGCGTGAAAATCTGTTAAAAGAGCTTGCTACAGCACCGATCGATCCAGCGCGTACACTCTAGATCCCATTGGTGTGAATGCACAGATGACCACTCGAAGATCATCAGTTACAGGTAAGCAACCTGTTTTTACACCAGTGAACAGAAGTTTAGACAGGAGATTTTAACAGTGTAAACTGGGTCAGTCTAGACTGAGTACCTCTTGGTGTGAAATGTTATTGTAGGCTTCCAGACTTTCTAAGGCTTAAGTGCTGGGGCAACTCAATCCTAAATGGCATTGATTAATTGTCTGAGAGCTAGTTGAAAGTAAGATTTGGTTTCTCTTTGGAGCTGTTATTGTCCTCAGCAAGTGTGATGAAATTCTGGGCTTTTCTGACTATTATTGGCTGGTTTATAGTGGTTTTTAGTTTAATCCTGCCATTTCTCCTTTTTTTTTTTAACTTTTGTAATGGAAATGGATGGAAACTCATTTTTGGCACCATAGAACTAGCAAGAAAGGAACTGTTTTTATTGCCTAAGTGAAGAAGATTGGAGAAATGTCAAGGGGACAGCCTGAGAGCAGCATCTGATGGAAACTTTAAAAAGCTCAGAACATGTTTTTGTTGGAAAGAATCATTATTAATTTATTTATTTACAATATTTTTAGGACATCTTTCTATCCAATTTAGGGTCCCCAAGGCAATGAACAATGAATCTGCAAAACAATGAATCATTAACACAAGTTAAAACAAATGTTGATGTATACAAAAAAGTGTCATATACAACTAATATATGTAGATACTTGTCTGATAAAGTTGAAACTATCGAGCATATGATTATGGAGCATCTTATATTTAACGAGTTGAGAGCCAGTTTAATTACTCCTTTACTCCAAATGATGGAAAGGTCTAACGAGGCATCTGATAGTACGAGGGCACAGGTGACATGGTTATTATCAGATACAAATGATTCCGTTACTGTCTGTGGCAAAATTTTAGGGGCAATAATTAAACAGCAGCAGAAGAATATCAAGTAAGGCATTGTTTTATTTTATTATTTTATTTTCTGTTCAAGGCTTAGCTGTATGATCAGTGATAGATAGAGAGAGATATACACAAAACAATGAAAACAAACATCAGCACATGAATGGGGAGGGTCAAAGTGAATTTGTGAGTGAACACCAAACAAAATGGAAAAGTTTCCATCTGTAGGCATAAGACACTGACAGAAATGCTGGGTTTTATTGCATTTTAGCCTCTTTAGTGAAGACACACTGGATTAATCTTTTAACTGGAACTTCCTCTTGTGTCACATAATAATTGAGATTATCTTTTTTATTTTATTCTTCCTCATTTGTTCTAAGGTTTATTTCTGGTACATATTTTGAATGTGAAGCCTTGATTTTGGAATATGCTCTAGAGCTCCTTTCCATGTATGATTGTACTATTCAGTTAGATGAAAAGGATATCTCCATCCATGTACCTTATATGGACAAATGATACTTTTCAGTTCATTTAGTCTGAGACTGTGGACAGGTTTCTAGGAAATCTGAGGCCAACCTCCTGCTTTTGTGACCTTTGCTGCTCCCGGTTGCTTATATCTGCCAGGGGGACTGGCTGACTGTGTTCTGAAGGCAGTAGATGGCGTTTTACATGGTATTTTTCCATGTGGGCTTCTTTCCATGTAGGCTTTTTTCTGTGTGGGTTTTTTTTAATGTATGGGCTTTTTTCCAGGTGGGCTTATTTCCAGGTGGGCAGTTTTCCGTGTGGGTTTTTTCCATGTGGGCTTTTTTTTATAGAACCAACTTCAAGGATGGTAACTGTAGCCTCCAATCTTAATGCTGACTAATGTGTTCAATTTGCAAAATGCACAATAGCTCTTTTAAAAATTGCCCTAGTAAATACATGGAGCAGCTTTACATTGAGTCAGACCATTGATCTGTCTTTTTTTTTTTTAAATCCCCGGAGGGATATTTTTTAATTTTGCAAATACTACAAAAACTACAAAGAAATATTAGGGAAGGGACTACAACTAAGGATAAAGGAAAGCAAACCACACTAAACTAAAACCCTAAGAGGAGGAGATCTTTTCACTGTTAGTAAAAATGTTAGTACAATTAGTTTTAATATCACAATATACTTGTAGAGTTCTTACTTATAACAATTCGTTATTTATATGTTATTTTGTTAGTTGTTATGAGAGAAGTCTCTGATCATCTTCTTATTCATCGCTTCAAAAGGCCATTTTCCAAGTCCTTCTGCCTTTACTTCGGCTTTCTGTCTCTAAAATCGTATACCACTCTGGCAGGTCCAGCACCCTTTTCTGCTGCAGAATCCTCATCCGTTCCCGAGGTTTCTTCCTCTTTGGACTCTTCATCTGTCCCCAGCTGACGTCTCAAAAATTCTTTAGTTTTAAAAGTGGAATCTATCTTCTCTCTTCTATCGTTGATCTTAAAGATGACACCCTCTGGAACCGCCCACCTGTACGATATCCCATTAGTTTGAAGAAAAGAAATTAAGTCCTTATAATTTTTCCTCTTTTGTCTAATTTAAAATGGAATGTCCTTTAAGGTTTTGATGGTTACATTTCCCATTTTCAGTGGAGTTGCTGAAGTTGCTTTTAAAATGGCATCTCTGGTTTGTCTTCTTAAAAACCTAACCACTATTTCTCCAGGTAGGTTATT